TACTTTCATATCTTGAATTGTTTTTATTATTTTGTTCAATTATTTGTGTTTTATAATCTGCACTAAGGCATTTATTCATTCCCCTTTAAGGTCTTTGAACATATTCGTATTTGCTATTTTGGAGACCTTGTCTTGTGCTTCGGCTAAATTGCTTTTCAGTACCTATTTCAAAAGAGTTGTTGGCTTCTGGAGGGGGCATACTGTCTTGGTTGTTCATGCCTGTGTTTTCACACTGGGATCTACCCATTTGGAGTTATGGTACTTGAAGTATTTCTTGGTGGAAATATCTGGTCTTACCATTCTTTGGTAGCTGTTGTCCACTCTGGATCCTTGGCAAGTAAGGCAGCTGTGAGATCCCTAACATAGAGTGGTTCTGATGGCCAGTGGGGGTCACAAAGGAATGGAGACACGCCGGGGTCCAGCTCCAGTGGGGTTCTGTGCCGCAGGGAGGATGTGTGAAGTCGGTGAAGAACGAAGAATCTGACCGCTGGTTGCTGGTTGTCTTTCAAACTGACAGGCCATCTTTGTTTATACAAGTGCTAATGCATTCAAACATGAGCAGTTTCAAATCATTTCTCTTTAATCATCTTCCAAGAATCATTAACATCTGTTCACTTTAGTTTCTTTTGTTTCCACTTCTTTGATGTCTTTGACCTTTACCCCATATCATCATAATGCAAGTCAAATGTTTCTATCTAGCTATGTGCATCTTACTCATCCTGTGCCCTAGGAGACAGCAAACATGCAGTTACAAAGTAAGAGACTTAAGCCCTGTGTTTAGTTCTTAACATGAAATCAGTTGCATGTATTGTCATGCCTAGGATATCACTTTCAGGTGCAAATCAGTTTCTAAATAATCTGTCAAGTTTATTATGTGAATTGCAGTTATAATCCTATTCTTTAGAAAGAAAGAAAGAAAAAAGTGAGAGAAAGGAAGGAAGGAAGGAAGAAAGTCACGTTGATCTGGGGAAGGCCAGAGATGCCTCAGTGTTTAAGAGCACTCTTGCAGAGGACCTGAGTTCACTTCCCAGTGCCCACATTCTGTGGGTTACAGTCACCTGTAACTAGATCTTCAAGGGATCCAATAGCACACACACACAATTAAAGGTAACAAAAATAAAAAGATGGAGAAGCATATAAACTATCTGTGCTAATTAGGGTTTCTCTTGCTATAATAAAACTTCACAACCAAAAGCAACTTGGAGAAGAAAGGGTTTATTCATCTTAGCTTACAGTTCCACATCATAGTCCATCACTGAAGGTAGTCAGGACAGGAACTTGATTAGGACAGGAATCTGGAGGCAGGAGCTGACGCACAGGCTGTGGAGGGTGAGGCTTACTGGCTTCCTCTTCATTTCTTGCTCAGCCTGCTTTCTTATAGAATCCAGGACCACCAGCCCAGGGGTGGTCCCAACCATCATGAGCTGGGCTCACCCCCTTCAATCACAAATTAACAAAATGTACCACAGTCTTGTGTATAGGCCAATTTGGTGGGCACATTTTCTTAACTGGTTCCCTCTTCCAAAATGACTCTAGCTTGTCTCAAGTTGACATGAAGCCTCGCCACTAATAATAATCTAGCTTTGGCTGTTAAGCATCGTGTGACTAATATCAGCCAAGCACATTCAGAAGAAGGCATTATTGCCCAATTATGATAACAGTCCTTTCACGGTGATAGCAGGGCAATTAATCAAGGATCTGTGGCAGACTTAAGCATTTATGCTTCCAATAACAAATCTTCAGAACATACAAAGAAAAATGTGGTAAGACATCAGTAAGAAATAGGCTGACCCACAATTACAGTCAGAGACGACGGTGTTCCCTCTCAGCAGAGAAGTCAAACAGGGAAAAAATCAGCAAGCATAGTATAGACTTAAACAATACCATCAACCACCCTGACTTTAATCAATACCTACACCCAGGAACAATGGAATATACATTCTTTACAAACACACATTTGCCAATATTGTCCATATGGTGAGCTGTAAAACTAATCAAAAAATTCAAACACTCCAGAGCCACAATGCATTCTCAGACAATAGTGAAATTAAATTGAAAACCATAGGACCAGCGAGATGGCTCAGTGGGTAAAGGCTCTCGCTGTGCAAGCCTGGTAATCTGAGTTCAATTCCTGGAGCCCATATAGATAAGGAAGGAGAAAACTAAGTCTGTATAGTTATCTCTCGACCCCCCCCATGTGTGCCTTGGAACGTGTACTCCCCCAGCCCTACACACCACACTAATAATGATCAATGTTTTCAGTTAGTAACCTGAAATCCTGCACACTACTGGCAGGATTGTGAAATTATGTACAGACCTTAAAAATCAGTGTGACACCATCTCAGAGTGTTAGAGACACCGACCGTGTGACCTGGCCATTCTACTCTAGATGGTTGGGATATGAGCAGTAGCCCCTAAAGACTGATGTACTGATGGTTCAATTCATAGGGGTGCTCTACAGAGCTGGCTGGATTATTAGTGGACTTGTTCATCAATGGCTTTAGAATTGGATGAGTTGTTGGAGGAAGAAGGTTACCCAACGTCTATCTTTGTCTCCTGCCCGCCCTTATCTTTTTTCTAGCAGCCACAAAGTGAGTGGCTTTGCTTGAACATGTTTAGCCTTCTCTCAGGCCCAAGTATATGGGGCCAAGGGGCCAAGTAAACATGGACAGACACCCCTGAAATAACAAGCCAAAATAAACCCTTCCTCTGTGTTGTTTTCTTAGGTATTTTCTCATAGCAATGAAAGGCTAATTAATATACATACCTGGGTGCTTACTTGAGAAATTACAAGAGAAAGGTAAGGCTCATGCCACAACTAGTAATGAATTTTCATAGCAGCCTTGTCTGTCATAGCCAGAACCTAGAAACAACCGAACATCCATCAGCAGGTTCATGGATAAACTGTGTTACACCCATGAAATACTATTCAGAAGGCCATTCTTGATGCACGCAATACTATAGGTGAGTGTCAAAATAATTATGCTGTTTTAAATATGTATATAGAGTATATATGTCTATATAGTATGTGTATATATGGTACATTTGTATGATCCCATGAACTGGTCTAAATCTGGAAACTGGAAACTAATTGATGGGGCAGACAGACCAATGGTTTTTGAGAGGTAGGGGTGGAAGGAAGTGAGTCAGCGGGGAACACAGCAAGCGTGGGGTGACAGACACATTTACTGCCATGGTTTTCATGAATGTGTAAATACGATAAAACTGGGCTGCACGCTTTAAACTTGTCCCAGTGTGTTTGCTTTATCATGTTGCAATTACGAATGCTTACGATACAGCCGAGGGTGGCCTACAGGCATGTGCCGCCCCACCCCACTCATAACAGCTTGCTTTTTAAATACCATTTTCAAAAAACAAAAAGTATGCATCTGGGAAGAAAACACTGGAGGCTTCTGTTGGTGGAGAGGGCAGTAGTGGCGGTGGTGACTGGCAGCAATCTCCCAGGCCAAGTGTGCTTCCCTTTTCCACCCAGAGAAAACCTGGGTGCAACAGGGACCTGCTGCCTGTGATTCTGGGTTCCCAGAAAGACCCTGCTAGACACAGTGGCACAAGCTTGCGATTCCAGCACTCAGAAGGTGGAAGCAGGATGATTGACAGTTCAATCCCAGCGTAGGCCACAGCTCAAGACTATGGCTAAGTAAGTAAGTAAATAAATGGAGAACTGGGATTCAGTGCAGTGAAAAAGTGTGCTCTAGGGCCAGAGGCCAATTCTCAGGGCTGAGATAGATAGATAGATAGATAGATAGATAGATAGATAGATAGATAGATAGATACATACATACATACATACATACATACATACATACACACACACACCCAGGTAATAGATATATAGATGTAGATAATAGATTAGATAGATACATACATAGGTGATAGTAGACAGATGATAGATGATAGCAGATAGACAGACAGATGATTGATGTGTTTTCAGCCTATTTCTTGCCAAACCTCACCACACAAAGCGCCTGAGTGAACTTATTGATACCACAGCATGCTGACCCATTCCTCTCACGTGGCACGCTCTTTTCAAACCTCATTTCTTCCTCACTTCAGCAGGACAAGGAGGAGTTTGTACTTAGTTCCCAAATGGACCACCCTGATAGAAGTGATGGGTCTGGACCATGGGTGGATTTGTATGTCTCCCAAGTGGGCACCAGAGCAAGGCCCCACCCGCTTCCTTCTCTCCTGGCCGATGCTCTCCTCACCACCACGCCACAGAGGGAAGCATACTACAGGCTTGAACACCTCCCTCAGAGCGCATGCATTGAAGCCCACAGGTAGGAGATGAGATTTAAAGAGTGGTTAGGTCAGCAGGACTCTGCCCTCATTCACGGAAGTCCTTATTGTCACACTGGGGCTCCTTTCACACTCTCTTGGCCTGTGATCCATATAATGACACAGCAAGAAAGCCCTCACCAGATGTAGCCCTTCCGTCTGACTCCTCAGCCTTTGGAACCATGAGCTAAATAAACTCCTGTTGTTTATAAGTTACCAGGATGTGGTGTTCTGTTACAGTCGCACAAAGACAAGACACAGCCCTCCCTCACTTCTGGAAATCTCTGTCCCTGCCCATGGAATCTCCCTGCTGGTAGTCATGAGAACTCCGTGACGAGCCAGGACCACTTGCGTCGCAGCAAGGCCAACTTCACCCACAGCTCCTAAGCTCTCTCAGGATCTGGTTCGGCTATTGCATCACATGCCTCCAAAAGGTGGAGACATTGAGACCATCTGCTGCCACCTGGACTTGCCTCAAGCTGCCGGGACACCTGGCTCCGACCCTCACACATCATCCTAGGAGGAACCTCGCCTAAAGGTTTGTGGGCTGGCTTCAGACCAGCTGTGGGCAGAGAGTAGGAAGGCCAGGGGAGCCCCTGAGCACCGATTTCGTGCAGCAAGGAATTACAGGGAGAACTCAGCTGCCTGAGCATGTGACGGGGTTATCAGTCTGCTAGGCCTAAAGATGGCCCTCCCTTCCTTCTTCCACTGGTTTCCCCACCCAGGGCTTCTCTGAGTCCCTTCCCCACATGCTCTGCCTCTCTACTGCTTGAGCTAAAACCTCTAGTCTCTTAAACAGGGCAGTGAGAGCAGTCAGACATCATGTTTCTAGTTGAGAATCCCCCTTGAGGGATTTGAGAAAGGAATATAGCAACTCTCTATAGAGAGACCCTTAGGTCTGTTCTGCCCCTGAGAACTCCTTATGCTAGCTGGACCCACCTCCACCCCTTACATGCTGTGTGACCCCAGAACTAGAGGAACCACTACAGCTCATCTCCCGTCAGCCAGATCTCCTCACCCTGTACAGGAAGCCTAGAGACTAGAGCTGGGGAGGGTGGGCAGTGCTGTGCCCTGTGGGAGACAAACCCAGAGTCACCCCCTCAGAACCCCTGTGGCCTTGCCTTTGCTGTGTGAAGCCTTGTCCGTAGCCCAGCGCACACTGAGGGATCCTGATTGTACTTGCTGTGGGGCTCCGTGCAGAGCTCTGCCTGTCTGTGACTCCCAGCCTGCTCTCCTGAAGCCCCCAAACGTAGAGAGCTCAAATGCTGCGCAGACATCATGCCTCCTCGCACTCCTGAGTCCACACCATTGAATCCATGACCGCTACACCTTGGTTTCCATGGCGCCCTGCCAGTGAGCGCTAAGGGGACATCAGCACGGCTGTGATCCACCCACTCCTGGCGGGTGGGGTTTTCCTACCTCTGCAGTAAGCCTGGAGCTCAGCAGTCTGAAGTCTGCAGCGGAAGAAGCCTGAGGTAAGGGATCGATAGCATCCTTTCTTGGAAGGTCTGGGCTGTGGGTGCTGGGTCCCCTCTTTGCTGGGTGCGGTGGAGCCCTAGCCTGGGCTGGCTGGTTTGTCTCCCATGAAACCCTTCTTCCACCCACTTCCCCCCAAGTTGAGTATTTGCACTGTCTCTCTGTGGGACGTCGTGAGCCCCCAGGACCTCATTCTTAAAAGACCTCAGTCAGTACCAATGAAGCAGACCAGTTAGTCACCTAGCACAACAACCCTGCGGCTCTAGTCCTGGCTCATTCGCTGCAGAGCCCCAGGTGGAGACAGCCGCCGCGGTCCCAGCCGTGCTGCCCCCAGGCTCGAAGTCCAGACCCTCATAGATGGTAGGGAGTGAGGTGTGCTGACTGAGTCGCCGCCGCAGGCCAACCAGCAGGGGCTGGGGAAGTGAAGACACATCCACATTGTTACCCAGATCGACCCAGGCCAACACGGGGAACTTGGCGGTGTCCTTGATAGCCTCGGTGAGTTCACGCGCAGCAGCCCGAGTCAGTCGGTTGCCATTGAGCAGAAGCTGGGTGAGGCGGGGCAGAGCCCAGAGGCTGGGCAGCAACAGGTGCAGCAGCTCATCGCTCAGCTCCGTGAAGCTCAGGTCTAAGACCACCAGCTCAACACCGTGGCTGCTCAGGTAGCGGGTTATGTGCTGTACATCCCGGGCGGACAGCGGGATACCAGAAAGGTCCACTGTCTCCCCTGCCAGCAGAGTCTTCTGGAGGCCGCTCTTGAGGCTATGAGAGGATGCAGGTGGGTGCACTGAGCCAGAGCCCAGGCCCAGGCAGAATCCCAACCGCAACATACTACTGCCCACCAAGGGCAACCTAGGTCCTCCAACCTGGCAAAGCCTGGCTTAAAATGCCACTTCTGGGACTGGAGAGATGGCTCAGCCGTCAAGAGTACTTGCTGCTCCTTCAGAAGGCCCAGTTCAGTTCCTAGCACCCACGGCATGGCTTAACAACTGTCTGTGACTGTGATTCCAAGCTATATCCTCTGGCCCTTTCAGGCACCAAGTACATGCACAGTGCCCAAACGTGCATGCAGGGAAAGTCCTCATACACTTAAAGAATAAACATAAGGAATCCATTTTTAAGATATTAAGTTGGTGGCTAAAGGCAATGCCGGGAATCTTCCTGAGCTCAGCTTGGGTTGTGATGAGGATTGCATGCATGATCAAGGGTCTATATGCAAACTGTTATTATTGTGCTTCTTGTATCTGTTAATATTATTTATTTTCAAGACAGCTCAAGGGTGTATAAGTGATGGCCCATTCTACAGGGGAACTAAGAAGTGAAAAAAGACCCCTTGGGGGCTGGAGAGATGGCTCAGAGGTTAAGAGCATTGTCTGCTCTTCCAAAGGTCCTGAGTTCAACTCCCAGCAACCACATGGTGGCTCACAACCATCTGTAATGGGGTCTGGTGCCCTCTTCTGGCCTACAGGCATACATACAGACAGAATATTGTATACATAATAAATAAATATTTTAAAAAACTAAAAAAAAAAAAAAAACCTTAGCTGTGCATCACTAAACGGAGATCAGGGCTCTAAATCATGGTGCTCTGATCCCTGAGACTATACTTTTGTAACTTTTATTTTAAGATTTATTTTACTTTACATTGGTGTATTGCCTGCATGTATGTCTGTGTGAGGGTGTCGGGTCCTCTAGAACTGAAGTTACAGACACTTGTGAACTGTCCTGTGGGTGCTGGAAATTGAACCAGGTCACTCGGGAGAGCAGTTGGTGCTTTTAACCGCAGAGCCATCCATCTCTCCAGCTCCCCAAACCTACACCCTCTTTCCTGTGCTGCTCTAGAAGCAGCATCCTTTAGGATAAGGAAAACCTTCGCCGTGAGTGGATATGGGATCATTCTGGTCCTCTCAGTGTTTGGGGCCCAGGATAGTGAAGGGGGAGGAAGGAGATGATGTGGGCTAAGGGATTGTAGGAGAGGCCTCCCTGCGGTAAGCTGAAAGAGGAACTTAGAGACTGGGGGAGGGCACATTTTCGCTTTCTCTCCTACTCTTTATCGACAGCTCTATAGGAAGACAGGACTGCTTTGGGTGGCAGGTTACTAAGGTCAGTGAGAGAATCACTAGGGCCCCATCTGCTAGAGCAGGAAGCGGTCTCGTGGGTTCCGGGTTCACCTTGGGTCACAGGCATAAGAACAGAACAGGGTAGGGGATAGAGGTCGGGTCAACTCCCAGCTGTGGTTCTAGACCTTTGGTTCTGGGCTGTGACTGTGTCATGAGGTCCCTAAAAGGGGACCACACACAGAGTACGCTATCAAGAGGCTGTGGAGGTCTCTGCATCAGGAAGCCTGGAGCGGATGAGCTCCCAAAGGACTGCAGGGTAATCAGGGAGGAAACGGCCTTGGGCACGCTCCTTTCCCTCTCCTAACTCCGTGTGAAATGGGAGGCTCAGACTCTGTCCTTACGAAGATTTTATCTGAGCACCTGGGACCCAGGGAAGCACAGGTCCTGAAAAGGGACAGGGGATAAAGGGGCCAGGCAATGGCAGGAAGTGTCACTGTCCTGGAAAAAATGGAAAGCAACTCATGAGGAGCGTGCAGCTTGGCTTAGGGGCATCTGGGGCTGTGGACCACGGTGGTTGTCAGGGCTGGAACCTTAATGTAGATGAAGGCAAGGGAGCCACAGAATGAGATTTCAGAGAAGGGGCCCTGAAAGACTGCCAGGGCTGTGTGGCTGGGCTCTCCTTACCTGTTTTGGGTTTTCCGGTGGGGCTTTCGCTTGGAGTGAGGAGTGAGGTGGTAGATGAGCTGCCGACAGATCTTATCGGAGGATTTCCAGGGCTCATGGTCCTACAGGGATGGGGGCGAGGACACACACATGCACACACACCGTCATAATGAAGATGAGCCTGAACCCCCTCCATTCAGCCCCAGCTGTAAACCTGGCACCCAGCCAAGAAAGGCTGCCTGCTGGGAATTGGACAGGCTAGTCTGAGGCCCGCAGTGCCCAGAGGGAGGGAGGAAGCCCAGACAATGGGCCCTTGTTCCCTGTCCTCAGGCCTAAGGCCAGTAGCTCAAGCTATCAACCAGCAGCTTGCCACCCTCAACACCCACAGGGGACTTGCCACAAGGAAGAGGCCAGACCAAGCCCCTTGAGGGAGCCCTATTCCAGAGACGCCAGTCCCAGAGAATAGGAACGAGCCAGGTCAGCACGTTCTCCCCCTCATTCTCCAAGCTGCGCTGTGCCCGTGGGGCCTGGGTCTGGGCTGACAGGGCCGGGGCTTGGTGTTTTAGTGGACCATACGGTTCTCTTGGCCCTAATTGTATCCCCAAAGAGGCCCGGCTTGGGGCACACAAGGTGTGCTTTCCACACAGCTGGCACTGAGCATGCGCCATTACCTATAACAGTCTTTTATACTATAAGCAGCCCACAGAGCTTGCAACATACACACACACACACACACACACACACACACACACACACAGTCAGTTAGGTGGCTATTGGGATGGCTGTGGGCTAGCCAGCTGAGCACCGATGTGGGTCTCAGAGCTGACAGAACCTACAGTGGACCCCTTATTTCATGTTGGGGGTGGTTCACTGTGTTTAAGATTCTTGGGGACTCATGGCTCACCACAGACAGACCTACAGGCCAGTGCTGTGCCCATGCTCACGGTGGGACATCTGCAGGTGTTGTCAGAACAGGGACCAAGGAGGTAGAGGCTGCAGGTGGCTTGTTTGTGACCCAAGTAGCAGTGGAAGAAATCGAGTGAACACCCAGCCCCCAAAGGTGTCCAAGTAGGATAGAGACCAGGGGCCTCAGCGGACGGCATCTCTCTTCTGACCCGGGAACATGGATATATGGTTCTGATAGTGGACAGGCTGTGTTCTGTGTTCCTATGGGTCTTCTGCTCAGGTGGGGCACGCAGCACTGCCAGTGGGAAACAGGTCTACCTAAGAGCCCGGCTTTAGGACTCAACAAAACAGCTCAGACCTGCTCCTGAAGCTGCTCTTGAAGACTAGCCTCAGGTCTAAGCAAGCATGAGAACCCAAGTTCTCCCAGGCCTATGCCTGCTGACCTCACCTTCTTGGGGCACTGCAGGTCCCGGGCCAGGTTCACCAGCAAGTCATGGGAGATGGGGTCCACCAGGTTAAGCAAAGCCACGTTCCTGTAGAGGATGTCAGTGAGGAGGTTCCCTTCAAGGCCCAGGTCCTAGGGGTGGTGAAGTGATGGTTGAGTAAGCCGGGAGTTAGGGCTTTCCTTCTCTCAGCCAGCCAGAAGACACAGCCCTCGCTGGTTCCCAAGCTTCTAACCATCCCCTCTCCTCCAGTTTCCTGGAATTTCTCAACATATGGTGGCAGTCAAGTGTCTAGAGAAAGAGGGGGCATAGTAAGGCCTTGAGGGGTGTATATGTGTGTATGGGTGCATGTATGTGTATGTTTATATATGTATGTATGTGTATATATGCATATGTGTGTATGTGTGTGTATGTATATGTATTTGTGTGTATGTTTGTGTGTGTGTGATAATGGGGTTATTTAGGCTAGTTGTTGGGTGTGTAATGTCTTGTGATATCTTACTCCTCTAATAGCCTTGAATGCCAATGTTTTTAGCATTCCCTTTGGGTCCCTTGTTTTCCTCCTATCCCCAAGGTCTCTTGAAATCTTTTTCCTCTGAGAGTCAGCCTCTTCCCTAGATCACATTCCCCAAAGCAGCTCAAACTCAGCTTGCTCATTTGCTGGCCTTATGTCCCTGTCCATCCCTGTAGGACTCACCTAGTGTCCTTTCCCTCTATCCCAGTTCTTCAAGGGGATCTCTGTGCTCCCTTTGCTGCTGCCAAGCTTCAGACCTCATACCTAGTCACCTTTGCTCAGGGCTCCCAGCCTTCCACGTGCATCCCTGGCCTAGCCGGGTCACTCTGTGAAACACACGTGATCTTTACCCTTCGTTCTGTTGGTGAGGGCTAAACACTAGGAGCCGTGCCACCAGAAACTACAGAATCTGCAGAGTCATGGCTCTCTGGACTTGGCCACCACACCCTCCCCAACTTCCCGGGCTTCTTCTCTCCAACCAGACCTTGGGGTCAGGGCCCTGGCCCTTCATCCCTCAGCCTTCTCCACTCTACACCTACGGGTCTGATGGAAGGCTGAGCATCTTGATTTGCTTTTATTTTTCAAGACAGGGCCTTACTGTACAGGCCCGACTGGCTGGGAACTTGCTATACATTCCAGGTTGGTTTGGGACTCAGAGACCTCCCTGTCTCAGCCTCCTGTATACTGAGATTAAAGGCATGCACACAAAGGGTGTTTTAGAGGACATGCAGGTGGCCTACAAGCACCCGACCTCCATGTGCCATCCTCTAACCCCTAAGCCAGAGAAGGATACGCCCAGTGCTGTCCTGAGCACACGGGAAGTCAGACAGGAACGCAGTGGGCTGCAATTACAGAGTTCCTGCAGGTAATGGGACAGGATAGGGTCCTGGATACGCCTCAGATCTCAACTTCTAGGATACAAGGAGGGGACTAGGTTGCTCTCTGAGGTTGGTTCACTCCCAGATGCTTCCAGGGAAACCGCAAGCTGGTGCCTTGGGCTCCACCATCCCAGATAGTGATCTGTATTTCTAGGCAATATGCCTGGCTAGCTGCTGCTTGGCAGTTGCTCTCCTGTTTGTATTTTCAATATGGTTCAAGCCACAGATGCCAGCTAGTGGGAGGATCCAGAAGGAAGGAGGCTTGGAATCTGGACAGACCCAGACAGAGCCCCAGGCAGCAGCCTACCTTCCACTGGCCTGGTCAGTGTCTCTTAAAGTGACAGCCCCACTTTACCAGACTGCTGAGTCTACAGAGAGGACACTCAGAGGTGGCAGAAGAGTGGGGTTGGAAGTGTCCCTGGATTATCTCTGAGATTCTCTCTCTCTCTTCTCTCCTCTCTCCCTCTCTCCCCTCCTCTCTCTCCCTCTCTCTTTCCTCATCCTCTCCTCTCCTCTCATTATAGGTTGGTTCTGAACTTGCTACGTAGCTGAGGTTGACCTTGAACTCCTGATCTCCTGCCTCCATCTCCCAAGTGCTGGGAATACAGTCCTGGACCACCATTAGTAGTTTATTCCTTCCTTCCTTCCTTCCTTCCTTCCTTCCTTCCTTCCTTCCTTCCTCCTTCCTCCCTTTCTTGTGATAAGATCGATAGAGCTCAGTCCTCTCTAAGCGACGTCCCTAGACACCGTCTCTCAGTTTTCCATCTGGGTCCTGGCTCATCGCTTCTCTCAGTTTCTCCAGCTCTAAGCATCTACTTTCATGGTGGGGGCAGCAGCTACTTCAGGGGGTGAGGAGGCTGAATGGAAAGTGATGTGCCCAGGGGAAGTGCTGGAATAGGCATCCCTGTCACCTAGGGCAACTCCAGACTCAGGATCTCTGGCTAGGGTACCAAATGTGTCTCCCAGGGGCCCAGATGTGGTATTGTCATGTACAAATGTGGTTGTGTATTCTCAGGGGTTCATGCTGCCTGTTAGAATGGGTGGTGCGTGCGCCGTGGCTTTGTCTGGGCTGTCATGATGTCTGTGCCTCCCAGGACCCTTTCTCTCTGATTAGGTGCTTCCTTTCTTCCTGCAGGATGGGGAGCTGCGCTCTTCCCATTGTCCTTCCGCATAAGATGCCCCTACCCTCACCCACTCCAACTCTTGAGGAGGTCCAAATGCGGACTCTTAGCTCCAGGCTGGTGGTCCCTCAACACACACAACACACCAGACTTCAAATCCCAGTGCCCCAACGTGCCAGCCCATCTTTGGCAAGCAATCCCCCAGCCCCACCTGGCCCTCCCTTTCATCCGCGCCCACCCTCCATGCAAGAACCTAAACATCTGCAAAACCCACTATGCACGCTAGGAACCCACCCGCCCCCGAAGCTCGTAGCCCCGGCTCCGCCC